CCGAAGCCAGTTTGAGTAGGGTTTTGTCACTAGCATCCAAAACAGTAGTGACCGAGAGGAGCACTTGGTGACTAACATCTTATTGGTGTGGCTAAAATATGACAGAGAACAAAGTACTGAGAAAAACAAACCCTAGCTGAAGGTCCAGGAAAACAAGAGAGGAGAAGAAAGCAAATTTTATGTACCTCCCAGTTAACTTCATCACTTACATCCAAGCACTGGTTTTGTTACGAAGAGGTCTTTGACACAAAATTTTAATGCATAATCCCATTGTCAAGGGCATTAGTATAGCATTACTAATTCCAAACTAGTATTTTCGAAAATAATTCTCAATGATGACAGCTGGGTATAATTTATAAGGGGTCATCAGTGTTAGTTCGGTGGAACAGAGTTTTGCTTTTATGATGACTGTTATAGAACTAAAAATGGAAAATATATATATTTCATTTCAAGGAGTGTCTCTCCAATTTTTACAGTTTCATTAAATTTTATAGAGTAATTATGGGATTGTCTTGTTCATGGAGATTTGTTTAAAATGCTTTGTGTCCATGTGTTTAACCTCATCCATTAATGGAGTCTAGCAATTTTATCTTCCGGTGTTTTTTACTCACCTAGAGAAAGTTTCCCCCTGTGGTTTTGATCTAGGAATCACTATTTTTTAGAGAATCAAAAAGAAAGAAAGAAAGGTTTATACATCAAAGGCTGTTCAGAAGAAAAACTTCGACCTCAGGCTTTTCAGAGTTCAAATAAACATCTGTCGTGTTTTCCACAGGCGCTGCGCTGTGCGTTAACAAGTGTGATTTCAGAAATTCAGTTTGTAATTTCTGAAAGCATATCAAGCAGGCGGCATTGGCCTTGAATAAATTGAGTTGTCTTTCATGTCAGACCTCTGGGGAGATTCATCAGTAACACGCGACTGAAAGTTGAACCTAGGAGTTCCTACCTCCCCACTGGGCCGTCTGTCAGGACTTGCCAGCCCCTGGCGCCTGTCTGGCCCCCCATGGTGGGAAGGCAGCATCGGCAGGGTGGTCTGGCAGATGCCAGGACATCACCCAGGAATTCTGGGGAAGAAGAGTTGAGTCAAGATCAGAACTTCAAAGAAGCAGCTCTGCCCTTCGGAACAATGCCCATCAAAAGGTTGTTTTAGGGAGCCAATTTTATCTGGACAACTGTGTCTAGTGTGGGGTTTTTTTCCTCCCCCTTTGCTTTATATATCACTCCCCATTACGCACTGTTGTTAACGGGCCTAAAACATAAAATAAATCCTTGAGATATAGGATCCTGGGAAAACAGAGGAACCTTTGGCCAAATTGAGATTCAAATTTTAGATATTTTTAAACATTCAGGTTTTTCTGATTTTGACTGTAATGCATCTTCCTTATAGAATGCAAGGGGCAGGGAGAGGATTCAAAAGACAATAATAACCATTTAAAATCTCAGCAGCTCAAACTACATTTTTTATTTCATTACATTTTCTTGGAGGCTTTTTTTTTTTTTGGCCTGTGCATGTATAGTAATTTTGTTGTGATTTTTTAAAAAACTCAAAACTGTAACTAAGCCTTTCCCACAGTATTGCAAACTGTTTGTAAACAATTCTTTTCCAGGTTAGCTGGTACACCCCGATATAGTGAAAATTAAATAGCTCAGCAGAAAGCTCTAAGTGGCTTTTCCTGGTGCTTTTACGTTCAGGGCATCTGTGAGTCAGGGGATCTGCAGGTGGAGAACACGGTTGATTCTCCTCTGTCTTTCTCCTGCATTTAAAGTGGAGACTTCACTTCCACTTCGTCAAAGGAGTGACTCGGGCTGGATCTTGTTGTAGAGGTTCTTGCTGGAGATGATGGAGTTCACCTCCACCATGTGCTCGTGGTAAGGACGTCATCGCCGGGCACAAGTCACGTTGCACGGGGATGGCCTAAGCCACAGTATCCATGATGCAGTCTTAGCTCACGTTGGTGGGGATCTGGTCATACTCATAATTTTTAACAACTGTTCTGTCAGTCCAGGTTCTCGGTTGGAAACAACGCTCTTGCTCATTCAATTAATTCATTTAAAATTTAAATGAATGTAAATATGTTAAAGTCTTGGAGGGCATGAGAACCAGGCTTGAGGAATATACATCTCAACTCATAGCTGCAGAATGCTTCAAAAATTTAACTGTACCATTGGCTTTGGAGGTGGGACACTCACTACCAGACCCTCTGTCACCGACCCCCTGAGAGCCGGGGGGGTCTCTCTGCCACAGTCCACCACTGCAGCAGGACAGAGTTTTCACAGACACCTCCTTTTTCTCACCACTCTATGGAATGGAAATGTTATAAGAGTGAGACTGACTGGCAGAGCATACATCATGTACCCATGCCGTGGCTACCAGGGAAAGTGGAAAAACACGTTGGCTGCTTCTAATTAGAAACAGAAATTTCACCCATGCACAAAGGATATTCATAACCTACTAGGCAGAGAAAACGTCTAACAAAGTCCAAAACAGCTGTGTGATGCTTTACTGTATAGAGTTTCACAATATAGTTAATAACTTCCTTATTGTTAAAAACTTGGGCCATTTAAGAAAATATATTTTTAGTCATGTCTGGTGAGGTATAATTTACATAGAACTAACATGCACCCTTTCTGTACACAGTTACATCAGAATTAACAAATGCATATACAGTCCTGGAGCAACCGCTGTAATCAAGATAGAGAACTGTAATCAAGATATCAAGTCCCGGCTGGTGAGGCTCAGTGGATCGAGTGCCGGCCTCCCACCAGTTCGATTCCCATCAGGGCACATGCCTGGGTTGTGGGCCAGGTCCCCAGGAGGGGGCGCATGAGAGGCAACTGCACATTAATGTTTCCCTCTCTGTCTCCTTCCCTTCCCCTCTCTCTAAAAATAAATAAATAAAATCTTTAAAGAAAGATATAAAACAGTTCGCCCCCAAATTCTTTTACTTGCCACTTCACAATCAGTCCCTCCCATTACCCCCAACTGCAGGCAACCAATGATCTATTTTTGGCTCTATAGTTTTTCCTTTCCCAGCATGTTGTATAAAAGGAAGCATATAGGCTTCCTTTTTTCGCTTTTCGTGGCTTTTTTCGCTGTAATCATTCTGAGACTCGTCCGTGTTCCAGTGTATGTCGGTGGAACACTTCCTCTTACGGTTGAGTAGTGAGCAGTCTACTGTATGGATGTACCACAGTTTGTACATTCACCAGCTAAAGGACATACGGGTTGTTTCCTAGTTTTTGACAATTATTGATACCGCAACTATAGAAACGGCATACAAGTTTAGTTGACTGCTCTCAAGACCCCCATCAGCCCCATCCTAGCAACACCAAATAAACATATAATCTAAGAAAAACTATGCAGAAGCCATTTCAAACCAACCTGGTCCCCTCCGATTCCAATCTGATCACTGGCCCTCAATAGCAGTTGCAAAGGAGTTGCTCTGGGAAGGGTTCTCGGGTACTGGGTGCTTGGTATGGTGGGAAGAAAGGGGTGGTGAGGGTTCCACCACACCCACTGTCCCATCACCCCTGCCTTCATTCCTCCAATGTCCCTTCTTCTCTCGTCTGAAGCTGTTGGTGCCATAGAACTAAAGTGTTGTAGACAGCTCTGCCTGGTCCTATGAATTGTATCTCGACCCCTTGTGGCTAAGGCAAGGGAGGACCTTTGGAATGGGAGCTGCAGGAGACAAAGCTTGTCTCTGGTAGCAAACGCTGCCTCAGTTTCCTCTCCCTGCCCCCAAAGCTTGGTTGGAAGTCAATGACGGGTAAGACCCCTCACAGTGGGAGGCAGCCTAAGCCAGACTCGATCACTTGGGAGGCCTTCATGGAAGTACTCAGGGGGCTGCAACAAAGAGGGAGCAATGGACTCTCGCCCCCTGGCTTTGACATAGTCCAAGTCCCCATGTCCTCTGGGAGAAGCACTTCCTGGCTCTAATCCCCTTAAACCTGAATACCTGTTGGGGGGAGGTGCAGCTCCTTGCCTTGCTACAGCATGTACTGGGAAAAATCTGGCATCACAAAGAATTCCTGATAAACCTGTGAAATCTGCTCTGCTAAGAGTGCTTTCATTCATATGTCAAGAGTTCGAGCAGGAAATCCTAAAACTCTGTTCTTGAGACTGACTCGTACTAAGCCCTCAGATTTCTTTGAAATGCTATCTACTGTTTGATCCTTGCCGCCTGTATTCCTGTGTATTACAACCCAATAAAAGCCCTTGGAGGAAGGAGCTCAACACCTTTTTTCCCTGAGAAATTGGCCATTGCTCACAGCCTTTTTCCTCTGGGAAAATGACCACTTTTCCTCCCCAAACAGATCACATCATGTCTCAGTCATGATTACCCTTATCTGTGGCGGCTGGGAGGACTTGCGAGGAAAGTTGCCCCCACAGTCTGAAGCTGTTGGTGCCATAGAACTAAAGCTAAGAGAATAGACAAGGTTTATGCCAGGCAAGGGGCAAAGAACCCCTCTTGAGCTCTCCCTGGCCATGTTCACCCCGAGAATTTGAGTTTGCCCATGTCCACCCTGTGCACTCATTTCCCCAGCAGCCACTGGAGCGCCGGCATGTAATTGATCCGCCGTCATTATTTCTGGGATGAAGGGAACTCATGGAAGAATGAGCAACTATTGACATTGGCAAGTAAGCATTGTCTTATTTACAATTAGAGACAGAATGAATGTGTCACTCAGTGTTACCCACTGAGAATAAATTTGTTTGCACAGCCGTTCAATTACGTCAAGAGTAATTGCCCATGGCTGTAGTTAGACACAATCTAATTCCTAGCGAAACAAGCACATGCAGTTTGGAAGCATAATTACATCTGACATGAAGGGACTTCCCTGTGGATTTCTTCCCGGTGACAGAAAATGAAAAGTTCCATAATGTGGCAACAGAGCCTCACCTTTTCATCACTGAGGGCTGCTCCTCCCAGCTCCACACTGACCACATCGGCTTAAAAGACAACAAAAAGAGCCCCATTCCAAAGAAACAGGACATCTGGACATCTCTTCGAGGATGAACATTTTATTGGAATATAGGCACTCGACAGAGTAAATGCATGGTTACAAAGTGTTTTCAAGATATTTGCTTTACACAGTGGCTAAAAAAATATCAATCTGCAGTGTTGTTGTTGTTTTCTTGAAGTTGCAAACCTCGGAAGGCAATTCCCCAAACCTGTTTGTTTATGGTAAAGAAGGTGTATGTAGCCCACATTTATCAAATGGACCGTGTTTCTCTTTTAGTCAGGGGCGCCCTCCCCTTCCCCACGTTCAAATTGCCGTGTAGCATGTATCACTTAGAGCTTACTATAAAGAAATAAAGTCACCTGTCTGGGAGAATTGGGAAGCCCTTTGAAATCACTGGCTCCAGCCTGGAGGTTACAACACCAGACCTGAGGACCTTCTTAATCAAATGGAGAAGATCAGGCCCACCGACCTGCAAGGTCTTCACACCCAGACTCTTTAGAAAGCTTTTGGACAAACTGGAATTTCATCCTCGTGGTCACCAAAATACTTTTTTTTTTTTTTGAAAAGAGAATTTACTCTCCATAATGCAAGGCACTAGTCTAAGCTGCAAAGGAGAAGATGACAAGTTAATTTCTTTAAGGAAAGAAATGTATTCCTTATTTGTGGAAGGTCAACAACAACATAGCCCATTTAAAGTCATGGGATTTTTGCCCAACAGCATGTCTTGTGGTCTGATGCCTTTCTAACAGACTTGCCCGCAGGAGAGAGCCCTGGTGCAGCCGGCAGAGGCTCGTCCATGCTGCTCACGGAATCCCAGTGACCTTGCTCTGACCTGGAAACCACTGCAACGCCCAGGTGAAGTCCTTGCGAAAAGCAACAAACCCACACTGATGCGAAGTTATTCTGTGCAACGTTAAAATGAACAAGGAATATTTTTAATGCACTTTAGTTTCCTGTTCCACCTGCGAATGGGACAATCACCCTGTGTAGTCTAGTGAATTTGTCTTCTGTGAAACACGTACAAAAAAGTGCTTTGCATGCTCAAGTGCATCCTCCCGCTTCGTGCCTTGTCCCTCGGGTCTACACTGATGTCCATCCATCCGATGCAGTGACACGCACTCTCTTTTAGGGTTGGAAAGAATCACTCTGCTTTCTGAGAGTTCGAGAAGCCCTGATGTGAAAAGGAAGAAAGCTGGGGAGCTCCGGGCTGGCGGCTGCCTGAGCCGTGACCTCCTCCCTCGCCGCAATTCTCCTGGAGGGAAGGACAGCCCCGGGCAGGGCTGGGCACTGTTCCTCTGGTGCCTTGCCTTGCTGGGCACAGCATCTGACCATGTGGCCATCTGGACTTGATTTAGGGGACGACTTCGCAAGGGCAGGAAGCCCAACTGGAAAACATCTCCCTGGCTGACAGCAAGCCCCAAATAGCCGCGGCACAGCAGAGTGGTGGGTGTTCGGTTCTCACATTTCCTGAGCAGCCTGGCACAGGCCAGTTCCTTGCTGGGCACTAGGGATGTTAATGTGACCCCAGGAGGCAGAGAGCCATTATTCAAGGCTGTGTGTTTCTCGCAGGAAGCACATCTAATGGCTAAACCCTCCTTCCTGCCCTGGAAGAGAAGAGCCCTTGGAAGAGACAGGAAGCACAGAGAACTTCAGTATTTCATGCTAAGTGCAAAGATATGAGTGGGTATTGGTGTCACAAGGACCAGGAGGAGTGGCCTTCACCTTCTCCACCTGTCGGGAGAGCCTTCCTAGGTGTGAGGATGGGAGCACTCGCAGGAAAGCTGTAACAGGAGATTATACTGATACTGATTATAGTTCATCCTTGAAGACCTAGAAATCCATTTTGAATTCCTGCTTAAATGGTTGAACTGTGGGATAAATCCTCTAAAGAGCTGATGCAAACTTCCTTGTTGATGATGATCAAATGCAGGTCTTTGGGCAAGATATTGGGATCTATTATTAAAATTTGTGGAAAGAAAGAAGATGAAGTGCTGGCTCTGAAGCTTTTAGGAAATAAACTGATATTTTCTCTTTTTTAAGATTTTATTTATTTTTAGAGAGAGGAGAAGGAAAAGAGAAAGAAAGGGAGAGAGACATCGATGTGTGAGACACATCAATCGGTTGCCCCTCACTTGCCCCCTACTGGGGATCTGTCCCACAACCTGAGCATGTGACCTGACTGGGAATTGAACCTGCAGCCTTCTGGTTTGCAGGCTGGCATTCAATCCACCGAGCCATACCGGCCAGGCAATAAAGTAATATTTTCTGAAGGACAATAGAATAGTTCTTCATTTAATCTTTTGGAAGTCCATTCCACCTGTAACATTAACAGGAATAGGTCACAATCAATGTGGAAGATGTATTTGTGTCTATTTCTGCTAATGTGTAGGTTCTGGGAGAAAGGAACAGATCTTTTAAAGCACAGACCTCCAGTGCCTGGGACGTAACGGATTCCATTAACCTGCTAACTGACTGCACAAGTGATCTTTACCCTTGGTACCATCTTCAGAGCTTGGATATATCTTGGCTTTTCTCTCTCTCTCTTTTCTTTCTCTTTTTTAATTCACTGAATTCATTTATTCACTTTATTTCCTTCTGGGAATGAACCAGGATGGCTTCAGTAGAAAGACAGAAAGTTTTTCCCTGGCAGCACAGAAAATTTATCATTTGAAAACTGACATTTTCTTAAATTCCCTTGGGCCTTTTAATTTATACTGAACAAAAGCACCTTATCGCTTCTTCTTCTTTTCTCTCTCTCTCTGGTTTTTTTTTTTTTTTTTTTGGTACTATGCTTAACTTAGCGTGAGGCAAAGAGTAGCTGTCTCAATAACATTTGTTTAATTGGTAGGCTTCACACCCAATAATTTAGCTAAGCTCATTCTCTGCACAGTCTAAGGCTAATTTGGAACGCTCCAATGTGCAAGGGAAATTTTTTCGCCTTGTTTGAATTTCCCCAAGAGGTGATTAATGAAGAAGAATCCACAAGATTAATCGACAAGACGTGGAAAGCAGAATTAGTATCAGGCCCGGGCAGTCTCGCAGACCACAGCCAGCCTTGGTTTCTGCTTGGCTTCTCCTGCCCTCGCTCCGGCTCTGCGGTGTCTGCACACGGCAGGGCCCTGCTGATGGCCACGCTCGCTTTCGGGCAGCCAGGCCAGCCAGACTGTGGACAACGGCTGAGTCCTTAAGAGACGGTGAAGTGGGGGTAGTAGACGGGCATTCTCACAAAGGACTGAAAAGCCTTAAAGTGCATTAGAAGAAAGTGTGCAGAGTGTATTGAAAACTGTGCTCCTACTGCTTCCTCCGTCTTCAATGCGACACCCACTCCCGCCCTTGGACACCCTCAGCTCCCTCTCACCCCAGACACTGCGTTACCTTTGTAATTCTGATTAAAATGCTAAAGCAATAATTCGTGGAAGAACAGTTTGATTCCACAAAGGTTTGCCTCTGCGCTCACACCCTCCCTTATGTTCCCTCTGATTTCAATGCAAATTAAGGGAGCACTTCATAAATTTTTGTTTGGTAACAACACACATGCAAACCCTAAATATATCCATAGCTCACCCATTTAGGGTTAGTTTGTTCAAAGAAATACTTTGGCCAAATTGTCCCTTTCACTCCTCCGAGGGCTGCTCTGGGCGGCTTTCCCTCTCGTCCTCTTTCTGTGGACCTGGGAGGTCGGTGTTTGGAGCATTCTCGACTACCCACTGACACTCGTGAACACGGGCACCCTTGATCTGCTCTGCATCTGTGGTGGCAGCTGCCTGGGCCTCGCCGTCCTCCCCTCCCGCCGCTTCCTCTTCCACAGAGACCTGGCTCTCCCCGGGGCCACTGGGCTCGGAACTTACAATGCAATCTCCTTGCGGCATGGCCACACCTCCTTCCTGGGCATCAGGGCCGGAAGGCCTGCCCGGGGGCTCCCTCCCACGGGGCTCCCCTGCCTCTGCGTGCTCCTCTGTGGTGCCTGGGCCCCTGGCGCCCTGGCTGAGCCCTCCACAAGCTGGCTGAGCCTCTGCACAGACCCCCAACTCCGCCCCACCAGCCTCGGCCTCCGCAGCAACAGGAGAATGGGCCTCTCTCTCTCTGATTCCAGCATCCTCACAGGTGTCCTGGCTGGAGGCAGCTGTCTGATTGGCCTCTGGATAAGCTGGGGTTGTTTCCTCTTCTTTTTCGATTTCTTGGGGCACAAGGGTCTCCTGAGGTGCATCTCTCTTAATTTCGGGGGCCGCAGACTCCATTGGCACTTCGATGGTCACCGTCAACAAATCTCGGAGCTCCTTCAAGGAGCCCGAGGCAGAGGTGGATTCTGGCTTTTCCTGGACAGGTTTTCTGTTCTCAGGGGTCCCTCCAAACTCCAGCTCTGGCGGGCGTGTGCTGAGGGCTCCTGCCACATCCTCTACAGCCACCAGATTCTCAACAGGGTCACCCATGCTTGACGTGATCACCCGCCCATCCCTACCTGGCAAAGAAAGGCTTTCTTCTTGGGCCAATGGACTAGGGCCCCCAGGCTGCCTCGCTTCCCCTGGTTCCTGAAATACTTCGTTACTGGCAGTCTCGCTGTCGGCAGCTCCTGGCAGCATGCTGGAGGCTCTCCTGGCAGGGCTGGCCTGGTTCGACCCCGCGGGGGTTTTCAGATCTGTCAAGCTGGACACGCTTTCACTGGGCAAGGCCACGTTGTCTTCAAATAAGTTGTGTTTCTTCAGGACGGCAGCTTCCTTTATCACTGGGGCACCGGAAAACAGAACAGGGTGTTAGAGCTCTGCCCCGGTGGATTTGGCTTTTCTGGTTTTACCCAGAAGCCGAACTCTCCTCTCAACTTTTCTACCTATCCAAATGTCTCAAGTTCAAGTTCCGGCTTACACTCACCCTCTTCTGGGTAGCCTGCCACGAACGTGGAAGCCTAAAAGCACACACCAAACTCTGAATCTCCCCAGTGTTCCTTCATTCATTCCTCCACGCATTCATTTATTCAAACAGCAAACACTGGGCAGTGACTACGGGGCAGGTTCCGGGAACCTGGAGACGAAGAAAATACAGCCTTTGCTGTTGAAGAGCTTGCAATCCATGACGGTAGCGCTTGGATTACACACACGGCCCCCACCGCATTTTATTAGCGGCCGATCTGTGCGGCACCAGTTTATAGCCGCCTGGCCTGAGACCCCTTGAGGACAGGAGCTGGCCTGCTTTTCTCCGCGTACCGCACAGTGCAGTCCTGAGTGTGCGCCAGGTTCTCAGCCCCGAGCACCCGGAGACAGGAGCCCTGCTGACCGGCACTGTGGCCATGGCCTCTTCGCTGCAGAGGCCTCTGCCACACCCAACTTTGCTGCAAACGTTTTTTGCTGCATAACTAACTAACTGGCCATAAGGCTATTTTGCTATAAAAAAGAATAAATAGCTGGTTGACTGTCTTTTTTGGTCTTTTTGGTTTCATTTCTTCATTGATGAACCAATCACCATAAAAGGTTTTAAATAAGTAGCTGATAGTTTGTTTTTTTGCATTGGTTTATTTTTAGTTGTAGGGTTATTTATTTGTTTATTTTTGCTCAGGTTTGGTTTCATTTCTCCATTGACAAAGTAGCGGAGGAAATAAATAGTGGTGATCTTAAAATAGTTGGCATTTTTTTCCCAGATGATGGTGATGTTTGCCCCAAGAGTCAGTCGGTTTCTTATTTGGAAACACTACGTTGGGAAGAGAAAGAGGGGCACCCAAGGGCCTTTGAGGGTGCAGAGTTGAACTCACGTGTCCCATGAAACAAAGGCAAGGCCTTAGACACACTCCACAAGATAAAACCTGTTATTTGCACAGTAAATTTCCATGAATCGACACGCATATGAAATGTATTCAAATATTTGCATTTGGCAATCAGGTTTTTTTCTATTTTGTTATTCCGCTTTCATGTCCCTCTTTTGTGTGACATAATTTAATCTTTCTCACGGGAAAGTTGCCTTTTGGCCAATTAGTTCTGGGCCAAAAATGCCTGTGGCAAAGATGCTGCAGCAAAAACACCGGACACACCAAAACGAAGACCCACGTTCCCCCAGCTCAGCCTTTGAGGCCTGGAGAGGAGGGACAACGACACGAATAACGACAGCAGCGGACACTTCTGACAGCGAACCCCTGCTTATTACGGCGGCGCACGCTGCACTGAGTGCTACGGTGTCGCATCCCGGGGGGCGGGGCCTCCTCGTCAGAAACAGCACGGGTTCGAGCGCAGTCTCTGCAGCAGCTGCGGATGCGTGGTCCGCTCGCACACGCTCGGCATAGCGTGGTCGTTTTTGGACAGAGAGCATCACGAGCCTGCAGGAAGGGAGCCTTTTTCTTTTCTTTTTTAATAAGGAATTCTTTTATTGCTGTTGCTATCATGTCCCTGTGTAGATTAGCCAAATTCTTTTTTTTTTTTAATTAAAGTGTTATTTTTCAATTATAGTTTACATTCAGCCCCGGCCAGGTGGCTCAGTTGGTTGAAGCCTCGTCCTGTGCACTGAAAAAGGTTGTGGGTTTGATCCCCAGTCAGGGCACGTGTGAGAGACCACCGATCAATGTTTCTCTCAATTATAGTTTATACTCAGTATTGTTCAGTGTTATTTTGTATTAGTTTCGGGTGCACAGCGTAGTGGTTAGCCTATCACGTGTTTTACAAGGTGTTTCCCACCAGCATTTCCAGCACCCAGCTGGCCCTGATACATAGTTATTACGATATAATCTGACTGTTTCCTATGTTCTAGTACATCCCCGTGACTATTTTGTAACTTCTAATTTTTTTAAATTGAGTTTTTGGGGGATGACATTGGTTAATAAAAGTTATATAGATTTCAGGTGAAAGGAGCCTTTTTCTAATTGTCCCCAGGTGCCATGGTGGCCTGGCAGTGGCCTTGACTGAGCCCGTCCTCTGTGTAGACACTGCGGACACCTTTCCATCCCTTATCTCATTAGATCCCCAGTGATGAGCCGTTGGGACCTGGGGGCTTGCGCTTGGCTAGTTTCCTTTGTGGGAGAGTTCTGGGGTGCTCCACACCTTTCCCACGGAGACCAGCTATGGGTCGGGCCTGCAGGTTTATGGGTGGCCCTCCCCAGCTCTACCCAAGCTTTCCCTGTTCACACCCTGCCCCGAGCAAGGCCTGCTTCCCCCTGTGCGCTGCCCAAGTCCCAGCCAGCCTCCCAGCGCACGGTGTCACTGCCTGGGTCTCTTCTGTGCAGCTGAGAGGAGGTGAGGAATGTGCTGAGCAGCTGCTCGGCCGTCACCTCTCCTCCCGCTCCAGGCGGAGCTGTGGGCCTGTGACTAAGAGGAGCCCTTTGTCCTTTGTTCTGCCTGGAACAGCTGGCAGAAGACAGCTGCTGGTCATGAGGCACCCTAGGTTTGATCTCTCCAAACCTCAGTCTTCTCATCTGAACAATGAAGCTTAACACTCCATCCCACAGTGTCCTTATTTGTGCTGAAAGAGAAAGACCACCTGATGGTCGTCTCCGCAGCAATGTTGGCCCTGCCCATTTCGTTTCTGTTGCGGAAACCTAGCTGGCCGCACTGGGTCCCATTTCCGGGGCGCTCCCCTCTATCCAGAGTTCCCCCCCACCTTAGCACCAGGTAAACCTCCCTCACCTTTCAGAGTTTCATCGAGGAGGATCTGGTGTAAAATCTCCTCGTACACGTTTTCCACGTGGATCATGTTGGTGTGATCCGCGAAGATGAACTGCTCGTATTTCTGAAGTTCCTGGAGCGTGAGAGACAGAGAGGGACCAGGCATGAGCTGCCAGTGCGTGTGGGAGATGCAGGAAGGACAAAACCCGGGATGCCACTCCTCACACGGGGCCCACGTCTCGAGCACTTAAGGGGGTAGATGAGAAAGTTGATCACCTCAGGGAGTGTCAGGGGTCTGGAGGTCTCCTTCTACCCCATCCTAACCAGAGTATTGGCTTCTTCATTTTTTTTTTAAGTGCCAACAGTACTTACCGAGGTATACGTTGCACACAATAAAATGCAGACATGAAAAGTATGGCTCAATGATCTAAAATACACAAGTAACCTCATGAAACCCCAGCCCAGATCAAGACAGAGGGCATCACTTGCATGCCCTTTTCCCATCCACGTCTCCCTGGAGATAAGCACTGGTTCAACATCTATTACAGTGGCCTTAGTTTCTCTTGTTCTTGAACTTCATGTAAGCAGAATGAGTTGGCTATTCTTTGTGTTGGTTTTCGAGAGTCGTCCATGAAAACAAACTGATTGCTTGGCTATCAGTGGCTTGTTCTTTGTTATGGATAAGACTTCCCTCATATGGATAAACTAAAATTGTTAATCCACACTCCTGTTGATGGATATTGAGGTTTTCCTCCCACTTTTTGACTGTGAGGAATAGAGATGCTACGAACATTCTCGTGCATGATTTCTGTAGATTTAAGGACTGACTCGTCTTGGGTAGGTTCCTGGAAACGAGACTGCTGGGTGGGGAGCAGACGTGTGTCTGACTTTATTAGACTGAGGCCCCTTTCCAGGTGTAAGAATCTCTAGTCAAGGACTCTTCGGGAAATCAGGGACATTCTCCTCTTTCCCTCTGGCTGGCTCTGGCACTCACTTCTTCCTCCAAGACAACCGGGGCAGGATGCAAAACCCTTTAACCCTTCCTTCTTCCCAAGCGTTTCCCAACGGCTTGCCTGTTATCAGCACGAGACTGGAGCAGGGACTGAAAAGCACCCAATCCCATTCCCGTGTTTAACTCAGTAACCCTTGCACCCAAGGGTGCTGGAAACAGTGCCTGTGCCTCCTAGACAGCCAGGGACTTAGCAGCAGGATTTGATGCCTTTGGCCTGGAGTGACAGGGTTGACGACAGGGGTCAGAGGCCACCACTTCAGACAGCTCCCCATGCCAGGGCTGGGGGCTCTGCTGCAGGCGGGACCAGGTCACAGAGGGCTCTCACGGGGTCCCTTTACATATACGCATCTTGGAGGGAAGACCACTCTGCGCCCCTCTCCTCCTCTGTGAAGTGAGGGGCACAGGCTCATGTCTGCAGCGCCCTTCCATGTTCCCGCCTGGTCTCCCATTCCGTGTTCCCCTGACAGTTGTTCGCCCTTAGAACTAGGCGAAAGCAGGACTCCGGGTGGCCCTCCCCAACCCACAAGCAGAGCCAGGCAACCTCCTCGGAACTCCAGTGGGAGGAGCTGCCCCCATCCGGCTCCTGCCAAGCCCATCACACGGCACCCTGTGTGCCTCCTGCCTCTGGGCTGTGAATGGACCTCAGGACAGACAGCAGGGCCGTGGGCCGGGCCCAGGGCCTGGATCGCATCTGAGACATGTTGAATGCATGTTCGATGAATAAACAGAAGACCTTCAACATTTCAGCCAGCTGAAGAATTCTGTGGAGAGAGATAATTTCTAGGGATATTTATACAGCTGTCACATGGCTGGCTTCACAAAACAGACCTTCTTGACGAAATACATTGAACTACGACACTCCTGTGTTGAATTCCCTGGGTCAATTAAGTTGAATCCCTGAGGGAGGGTCTTGGGGAATCAGTGTTTTTCAAAGCTTCCTAGGCAATTCTGACGTGCATCTTGAGTTCAATATCCCAGGTCTAGGAAGCTGCAACTTAAAGAGCCAAGAAAAACTACACTTTAATAAAATGAAGAACTCTCCTCTGAGGCTGGAATGCCTCTAGTTTATCCAGTCTGTAAATCCAGATGTTTAAAAGGCTCCTGACCCTGATACCATGTCCTTCAGGACAGAAAACTGTGGGTTGCAGGTTCTTCAGAAACTGGTCTCTCTTGATTAGAAGTCACAAGAGCTCCTTACAAATTGGGCACATCTCTGCTGGTGTTTGAAAAGAGGAGGGCAGAAGGACAGAAGGCTTTCTGCACCCTCCCCCTTTTCTGGGGGGAGGAGGAGGTCCCAAGGCCACCAGGGCCGCCTTTGGGAGCAGAAGAGGAAAACAGGCTTTACAGAGAGTTGGTGTGCCCACACGTCCGGAGGTGGGCTGAGTCGTCCACTCGGCGGCTGAACTTTTCCAACCACGTAGGCCAAGGGCCATTCGTGTGGACGGGTTGCTGCCCTGGCATCGTCTGATCCCTTTCTATGAAGGAAACATGCCCCCAGGAATAAACGCCATGGACGAGATATGCTGGTGACACTTTGAAGAAGAACGGCATTGACAGAATGTAAAAACAGGGACCGAGGACACTGCCCCGCTGCCCCAGCACATGACTCGTGAGAGGGACTCAATGGTCCAATGCTTGGAGAGCTCCACGCTGCCACAAAGCCCTGTTTAAATTCCAAACGCTCCTTCTCCTTTGCTCTAAGAGCCCCGCACATGTCCTGGCTCATGGATCCTTTCTGAGATGCAGAAATAGTAAAAGCAGTGTTTGCCCCTCACTGAGGGCATCCCATGGACCAATGCATGTGAGCTGGGTGCAGACTCAGCCGGTGGCCAGCTCTGTGATCCTGGGCCCACGACGTAAGCCCTCGGGGTTCCTCATTGCTACAGTGAGGATATAAATAGAACCTCCTCGCAGGGTTTCCGGAGAATCATCGAGCTAACCCATGCCCAGTGCTTCCCACAGCGCCTGGCACGTGGTAAGCACTCATCGGGTGTTAATTGCTTCATTCTAGTCTTCTCCGTCTGAACAAGGATACTGCAAGGTATTACTGTCTCCATTTTCTGGAAAGTGAAGTCTAGACCAAAAAAGAGCAAAAGTGATTGAACCAAGGCCCAAGAGCCGATACCTGGAGGAGCCAGGACTTGAACCCAGAGACCCAGCCCCCCGAGTGAGCTCAGTCATTACTCTGCTCTGCAGACTAAGTCACACTTCGTAATCAGGGCTGTCACTGGTCACCTGGGGTTCATAACAGCTTTAAACGAGTTGCTTCATTGATTTCACCAAACAAATGTTACTGGATTTCACAGAACAAATCTCCTGCAGTCAATCATGTTACTTAAGATCTTTTCCTGGACGGGGTGGTCAAGTTTCAGAGGCCATGTAGGAATCACGAGTCATACTTGAATGACAAACACGTGACATTTGCAGGTGCTCTGTGCTCACGTCGTCACCCTCCAAGATTTCTGTCTGGGCCGGGGGTCGGCCAAGCTCGCCAGCTGCTTGGGTTTGTAAATAAAGCAATGCTGAGACTCAGATCTGCCCATTTGTCTATGCACAGTCTACGGCTGCTTCAGGGCTGCTACAACAGAACTGGGTAGTTGCATCAGAAACAGCATGGCCCATGAAGCCTACAATATTTACTGTTGGACCATTTACAGAGAAAGTTTGCCAACCCCTTCTACTGTTTGCAAGCACATCCTGGTCCCCCCCTCTCCTCAAAAAAGCGCTTGGACATCACAGGCGATAAGAGCAGTCTCTCTGGAGTGACCCAGCCCTTACTGGTTTGCAGGTGGACGCCAGGGCCTTCTGCACGGTGGGAAGTGTGATCTGAACCAGCGCCTCCTGAAATATCCTCTTCCGCGTGGTGCTGCTGTCATAATCGTATTGCTGTCAATACAGAGATGGAAACATATGCTCAATAGCAACACTGCAATCTGTTCACTTTTCCTTCAGCAAAAATCCCAGCCACTCACTTCATCGCCTTTTCCCCTCTGATTTCTGAGCACCCTGTGGTGTTTCCGAGGTCCTGGAGACCTTTCTATGCGATTCTCTCACGCTGTAGGTGGAGATTATGACTGCTAATCACTCATCCCACCCTCCCCTCTTATAGATACAGAAACCGAGACGAGACCAACAACACAGCAATTTCCAAGTTATAAAGAAGCTGGGGATAGAACTGGGGGGTGATTTGTGCTTTGTCCCCCCCAGTCCTGGGTGGGTCCTGAAGGCTCCTGGTCATCTACTTCCTTCATTCTACATCCTAAAAGCAGGCTTTGTGGGCTATAATGATTTCTGCGAGGGAAGAGAGGTTCTGGCTCATAGCTACACGGGCACTGTGGCTGTTAATCAAAGGAGTTCCACATCTAGAACAAGAAAGATGAGGACTCGCTTTGTACCCCATGGATCATCCAAACTGAGAGACCAGAGTGTGGTCTTCAGTGTCACTTTAAGGGGGTCACAGACACACTGAAGCACAGACACATACACGTGAGCAGAATGGTCAGGCCCCGTAAAGAATGGTCAAAGAGATGAAGCCATTTATACCAGAGGTAGCAATTTGGGGCTAAATTATAGCTCTGTTCAAACAGCAGGAGGCTGCCATGTGGAAGAAGGACATTAACAAACAGGGCAGAACTAGACTGACAACCACTGAGAACCTTGACTTTTAACACTAGGAAGCATGTACCTGTGTCCAGAGAAGGAATGGACTGTCATGAGAGGCAGAAAGTGTCCTGACACTAGGGGTGGTGTTGGCATTGATATCTTTTCTTTCTCAATTATAAGTTCATTATTAGTTGTGTCACCGTGATAAGTATTGCTTTTAATTTCTTTTTTAAAAGATTTTATTTAGACATTTCTTTAAGAGAGAGGGAAAGAGAGGGAGAAAAACAGGAACATCAATGTACGAGAAATGCATTGATTGGTTGCCTCTCATACACCTCCTGCTGGGGACCTGGCCCACAACCTAGACGTTGTGCCCTGACTGGGAATCAAACTGGCAAGCCTTTGGTTCACAGACTGATGCTCATCCATTGAGCCACACCAGCCAGAGCTGCTTTTCTTTTCAATAATTTAATTGCCAGAGTTTTCTACTGCCTGTGAGACTTTGAAATCAGGCTTGAAATCCAGGGACCCCCTTCTAGGCTCCGTGGAATTTAATCTTCTGCTCCAAGCACTGAGTAGGGCAGCAATTTTCAACGGTTTTCACCTCATAGCACACATAAACTCATTACAAAATTCTGTGGCACACCAAAATATATATATATTTTTTGCTGATCTGTCCCACCCAAATAGGTATGATTTTGATTCATTCACACCAGACAGCAACTGCTGTGTTGGCTGTTGTCATTTTTAAAATTTGATCATCTAAGGGGAAAGAGGACAGTGTTCCTGACAAAATAGTCAGGTACTGCATGTTTTACAAATTCTCCTGCCACACCTTTTGAAAATCACTGGTTTTGGGGAAAGAAGAAGTAAAAAATGAGTTCGTCGGGTTTAAGTATAGTTTAAGCTCCGGTTCACCTTGACTGGCCCATGAAGCTTACATAAGTCACATGAGCTCTCGGAGAGTCAGTTTCCTCATATCTAAAATGGGCACATATTCTAATTATCTCACAAGTGCCGGTGAGGATCAAATGAAACAGGTTAGTTAGGCTTTTAAAAGGCTTTAAAAATATAGCATGTCTAGGCAAGCTCTTATTATTAAAACCATTTTCATAGATACTTAAACAGGAAGCCTAATACAAATAAAACAATTTCATGTGGCAGGTATCTCTTCTTTTTTCTTTAAAAAAATTTTTGACATTTATCTTTTACTTGGAGTATATTTCCTTTGCCATGAGGTATTTTTTTTAACATATGTTGGCTAATTTAAATGTAAACTATTTGAAGAAATAGGCTGTGCCTGGTCTATTTTTATATTCCATGCAATTGCTTGTAGGGGGCAGCCAATACATATCAAGTGCAAATGCTTTGAAATTAAACGGAGACAAGTCACTTCAGCTGCTGGGCCAGGATGCTGAGGACCTGTGGTCCCTAAAAAGGCCACTAGATGGCAGAAGAGGCCTGAGAATCGTGCTGGGGAACCGCCTGCCAGTCACTGGAACCTGGGGAGGATTGATGGGAAAGATGAGAAAGAAAAGCGGGCAAGTGAAAGAACATGGTATTTTCCACTAAAAAAAAAAAAAAAAAAAAACAGTGGTCATGTTCTTTTATTTTGCTTCCTTGTTACTGAATATATTGCGGTGATAGTGGCTAGTAAAATGATGTAGGTGTCAGGCGTACAATTCTGTAACACATCACCTGTATATTGTACCGTGTGTTCACCACCCCAAGTCAAGTCTCCTTTCGTCACCATTTGTCCCCCCTTTACCCCTTCTACCTCCCCCAGGGGTCACACCCTTGTTTTGTGCTTCCCACAAATGAAAAAAAGGTTTTACCTTTAAGACTCGGAGCTTAACCTTCTCCATGGCGACTGCTGTTTTGGGGGCCTCGGCCCCGAGATGTGGGGCCAGCAGCTGTGCGAAGGTGAACACCGCATTCCCCATGAGCTGGAGGCCAAAGCGACACAGAGACAGCACAGTCAGGGAGGGGGCACTGCCCCGGTCCGTCTAGGACAGCGGCACCGAGGGAGGGGTAGAGCATCTGAGAGGAGTCCCCTCAGCCACTGCTCTGAGAGTGACCCAGGGTGACAGGCCCTCATCCCACTACCTGAGCTGTGACATAAATAGGCATATGGTCACTGTGGGGTCAGTAAGAGACCAGGAATACACACACACACGCACATGTATGTGTGCATGCATATGTATGTGTGTATACCTGTGTGTATCCTGTGCATCCTTTCTTCGCATCTCTGCTCCTTCCACTCTGGACTGGAAAACCCAAGACCGTGGGATTGAAAATGCCATCGTCCCCTGTGGCCATCCCCTTCCTCCACCCTCTGGTACCTGCGTCCAGGGCTTAGCAGGTTGAGGAGGGAGTCTTCTCCAATGATTTCTGGCTGCCTTACTTCTGCACACACACTTTCAGGTGGAGGTAAACCACCCAGAACATCTCTCTGTCCGCCTCCCACCCATCCGCTCACAACTCTGCCAGGTTGGACGGGGCAGGGGTGGGGCTCGGGGCAAACGTGGCAACAGGCTCTGGAGGTGGGCAACAGCAGGAGCTCATTCCTCATTCTCTGTCCTTGTGCCTGTATAAGCTTCACCAGTGTTTGACGGGGACTCTGTGAAATGACTGCCCAGGGCAGTTCCTCTCCATCTTTAACCCCACAACTCAGAGGTTAGATAGTATAAGGTGGGTCACTTAGTCCTGCCTATAACATTTGAGAAAAATAGTGTGCCTCTTTTTTCCATGCCCATGATTCCAACACACACCTTCCTCGCTGCATTCTCAACGCAGGGGTACATTTATCTGAGAACCTGCCTCGCCCTGAGCTCCCCGAAGTGGGAGTGGGCACAGTGTCCAGCCCCACAATGGGCTCCCCCGGCGAATCCGTGAGACAGGACTGTGCTCTCACAGCTGCAGTGAGCACACCCCTTCCTCATGCGTAAACCGCCAGACTGCGGAAAAGTCCGGGCTGTTCACTCCTGCTCCTCGTGGGGGGAAGGAACCCATCAGGTAAACGCAAGAGATCCAAACATACAGCTGTGACTGAGGCCCTGATCGCTTCTACACTGGGTTAGGGAATTGACTGTAGCCAGTGGGGCTCAGTCCTGGACACGTATTAGAGGCAGTGGGAACAAGTAGGAAATTTTCTAATTATTAAAATATAATGTTTAAATTATTAAATCATTTAAAACATCATTTTAAATTATTAAAATCTGAAATGATTGAATTGTAGATATATAACTTCAATAATTGAAAAATCATTTCAAAAAATATATATGTATAATCAGAATCACTGGAGGTGGGGCCTAGCATTTCTTAAAAGCCCCCCAGACAATTCCCATGTGCACCTGAGCTTCAATGAAGCAGTTAATTGTCACTTTATTTCCTGGAGATGTTCCCAGTGTAGGACATTCATCAGTATGGAGGGAAGATGAAGCCCTGCTGGAAGGACAGTTGTGACGACAGAGGTGATGGACGCACACCTGAGCGCCCCAGCCCACCGGTCCCATCCACCAGTGCCCGCTCCCCCTGGCTGCGTCCTCAGCCCCAGGATGCCCCCGGGGCGCCCACCTCCTGCATGTAGTTCTGTGTCTGCTGCACCACCAGGTCGACGTGGGGGAATCTGAAGCGGCTCTTGAGGTCCTGCAGGCGCTCCTGAAGCAGGTTGACTTGGACGTAACAAGGCTCCATCTTCACAGAATCCAGTGGCAGATTCATAAGCCGGTCCAGATGCTACGTTTGGGGAAGGGGGAAAATGAAACATCTTCAGACTCAGGAGCAATGCTACACACATATTACATACTCCGTAAATTCTCAGCAGTCCAACAGGTGTTGTTAGAGTGAATCACTTCCCAATCACTGCATCTGTGACTGCTTCAGATGTCTTCCTCCCTGCAGTGGGTCCCCAGGTCAGCCCTGCTGCTCGGGCAGAGGCCGGAGAAGAACCAAGGGGATGATGGGACAACCCAGGGATGCACCCAGGTGTCCAGTCTTCATATGCTTTTGATGGACTGCCTCCCAGCTCCCACTTCCAGAACTCAAGAGCTAGCAGGTAGGTCCTTTGTAACATGAGATGTTACCGAGCCCATGAGTTCCCACAGCCTTTATAAAGGAGTGCCATCCCTCTCAGAAAATCCCAGCGAGGTCAGAGTGACCTCCGGACTGCTGGACGTGAGGCCAGAGTCCCCAGAGTTCCCTGAGGCCCTGTCAGGACGCAGGGCACTTCCCACTGCTTCAGGCTCTCTATGGTGCTAGTGGACAGGACGTAGGAGGTAGGAGGAGCCTGGTCAGGGAGCGGTACCCAGTTTCATACACCTGGGTCCCTCCTTCTCTAGTTTGTGCAAGCGCAGACCTGACTACGGAGGCTTCCAGGGAGGGGCTGGCGACAGACCTGTTCTCCCAGTGACCCCAGGGGTCGCCGACACACTCAGACACTATGAGTGCTGTCGCCAACAGCGTGAGTTTTACTTCCCACGCTTATTCTAAAATGAGTTAAAACCGAATACTGGAGAGCTGGAATAAACGAGAAAGCAGGTGCAGATAGACAGGAAGAAAGGTGCTGGAAATGGAGGCCAGGGGAGGATTGCAGAGTCCAGGGGGTGCTGTCTCGTTTTCAGGGCGCAGGTCAGAGGTCAGTCGGCATTCCCCGATGGCTCTGAACAGAAGTTTAAAGGGGGCTCGTTGTCACTGTGTTCGTAATGGGAAAGTATCGCCCCCTTTAAGAAGTGGTAACAGACAGCCCAGCTAAGGTGGAATTAATGGTGCTTGAACTTGACCCTCATCACAACACACGTCATGGGACTATTTTTAAGAAACACCAGTTAGGCAGACAAGAGAGGAAAAATGGGTTGCCACTTTGCTCCTAGCAAGTTGGTGAAAGTTTGAACCAGTGAGAAGACTTATTTCTGATGGGAATATGGAGGGGAACATCTTTCCACCACACACAGTCGGTAGAAATGTGGATTTTAAACCCCTTTTTTGGAACACAAATGATAACATCTGTTAATGTGAGGGATGAACCCACCTTTCCACCTACCCATCCTGTCCTAGGAATCTACCCTGTACAAACAGAAGCACCAGGTGTGAGAATGTACATTACAAGGCTCCTTGCCACAGCTTTGTCCTATGGTGGTGACCTTAAGACGGTTGACTAAATCACACATGCAATGTTACGCAGCCATTACAATGAATGACTTAGAACTAGAACAGTCAACTTGGAAACAGTTCCATGGGGCACTGTGGAGTGAGAATACTGATAAGCACAGTAGTCTGGGTGATATAATCCCAGTTGGCTAAGACCAAGCAATGTAAAACAATGGCTTGTGGATGTGCGCGTGTTACAGGTTGTAAACCGTGGGGAGTTACAGGGTGGCATGTGCCGAGGTGTGGACACTGATTACTTGAGGGGAGGTGGGTGGCGTGTGGGGAGGAGCGAGAGTAAAGTCACATTTAAAAAGAAGGCTGCGATAAAAAACGTCAAAATAGATACAAATGAGCTCGTTGATGACAATGCCATGCGTGGGTATGCACAGAGGAGTAAGAAAGGAAAAGGGACAGACATATCTGGTCTTATCCACTGACTGGTAGGGATGTCCATCATGTGTCAAGTGTAAAGCCAAGTCAACAAGTTGTGTCTGTCAGGGCTTCTCACACTTCCGGGTGCATCAACCCTCTGGAAGTCTCATTAGAATGCACTGCTGGGCCCACCCCCAGAGCTTCTGATTCGGTAGATCTTTGGGGGCGGGGCTAATAATTTGCATGATTAACAGGCAGGTGATGATGCCGCTGTGGGTCTAAGGACCACACTTTGAGAAACATCGGTTTTTATCATGAGCCTGTATTTTCAGAAACAAACCAACCAACCAACAAAACTTATATAAATGAGGCTACATGCTTGTATATTTGTATGAACAAGGAAAAAGTATGTGAAAACACATTCTAAGCTGCTTATGTTAGTTAATTCAGGGAGTTGGGCGGGGAGGTGGCCTAGGAATTGGAGGTGAACAAGGGTCAGGTGGGTATGGCTGGTTCATTTTGCATATATATATACATATACATATATATATATTCATGTAATTATTTTTGCGACTTAAAACCATTAATAAGTGAAAAGGGATGGCTGGATGGATGAGTGGGTTGTGAAGGGGTGGAAGGCAGACCAGATGAATGGATGGAAGGCAGACCAGATGAAGGGATGGAAGGCAGATGCGCAGAAGGGAGGAAGGGAGGGGCAGTGGGAGGAGGGAAGGAAGGAAGAAGAGATGGATGCTGATACAGCCCATGGAAAAGGCAGCCTCGGGCAGACCATTCGCACTGAAGTCCTTGGCTTCACATCCTACCTCCTTCAGCTGGGCACCGTCTTTGCTGGTCTGAAAGTTCTGGCTCAGTTCATCCACCTCCTTTTCAAAGAGGGAGCGTACTTCACTGAACCCCGAGCTCACGGGCCCCATGAGCTCCTCCAGAATGGATGCCAGGAACGGCTGCACGCTCTCCGCACAGCTTTTCTCTGCTGGCTGGGCCACCATCGCTGCGGGAAGAAAGAACCAGAAAACTGCGACTTACGGCAAAATCGGATTCAAGGGCGCTTGGGCCCGGCCAGAGGGGGCTGGTTACCCCACAGAGCCCCTGGCCAGCAAGCTCTGACGGCACTGCAGACCAGCACAGTGAGCTCCGCACTGGCATTCGCCAGAAAAGAAAACCATGAGGTGCCTTGAAAATGGAAACAAACAGGATCTCTCTGCCCCCCCCCCCCCCCCCCCCAGCTTTCCTCTGCTGGGGCAAAACACATTTTCCTGCTTGGCCCTATAAACACGCCATGCCCAACGCAAAAAAGAAAAGGCCAGTGGCCCATCAATCACTGTCATTGTACATACAGAGTTTGCTGAAAACACAATTCATTAAGTTTTTCTAAATTGAGGTATAATTGACACATAGCATTATATTAGTTTCAGGTGCATAAAATAATGATTAATCATTTGTATACAACAATTTATTATGTTTTAATTTATTCCTCTAAGAATCAATCAATACAGTTCAATTCCCCTCTCCCTTCCTCAAGAGACTTTCTTAAAAATTCAAAGACAGTCTTTTAGGGCAAATGGAAAATAAATTCCTCTCAGTTTGTTACCCCACATCCCATGCCCACTCCCGATTTTTAAAAAACACTATTTTTGGTTCTGGTAATCAAGGACAGCATGAGCAGTGACAAAAAAATGGAAAGAGCCCCCAAAAATCAGAAAGAGGGACGGAAACGAATGTAACCGTACTCCCTCTTCCCAGAGGCAAAACCACCCTCCGATTAGCAGAGGAAGAGCCCAGCAAAGAGTCTGCTTCAGGAAGCCTGGCAGGGACAGGGTAATCTGTGTTGTGACTAGTTTTGTCATTGTGGTTCAGCGCTAAGGTAACCCTGACCACTGGCCGGGTTTGGAACAGCGACCCCAGGAAGGAAGCCTGAGGCTGGACCGGAAGGCGGGGCTTTGAGGGGCCAGGAAAGTCACGTGGGCTAGTCCCAGTAGCGCCCAACTGAAAAGGGGGCTCACGCTCATCTGGCTGTCCAGTCCTCCATGGTACAGATGGGAAAACGGGAGCCTGGAGGTGTTCGCTGGCTGGACCCGGGCCACCTCCTAATGCGCAGAAACGGAACTACACTTCAAGTGTATGTCTTAATTTTTTATTGGTGAGTAACTATCCTGCAGGGAGATGATTGGTCACATTCTTATTTCGATTCACAGATGTATTTCACAGAGTTATAGAGGATCATGCTGCCTTGTATTCTGACAACTGAAGGTGATCAATACTATTAAAATTATGTTTAACTCATAAATATTGGGGATATGAAGTATTAATCACGTCTTAGAATTATTAGGAAAAAAACCCTTTCATTGCATGATTTGAATAAGAAACCATCTGTGAGTTCTCAAAATGGCTGGCTTGCTCCCCAACTATGACATTTTCCTGCCAGGAGAATAATGAATTATTTTATCAGTAAACTTTGAGAGAAGACCTATTTGAAAAGCATCTAATTGAAACTTCAGAATGATCATGAACCCGGGTCATAAGCCATGACTATTCAGTGCAAGAAACGCTCCAACCGGGAAGGTGCATGTGCTGTCAGAATTCAGAGGCCCCACCCAAGGCGAGAAGCAAAGTTTCCTCCACCGGGTTTCTCTGAAGCTTCCGTGGGAGGGTGGGGCCCTTGGCAGCTCCAAGCTGCTGTTACCACTGTTACCCCTTCTTTTGTAACAATTCCCTCAGCTCCATTCCTCCCTGAAACCACAAATTCTGACTATGTGAGCAGCCCTGAGTGAACATACCAGCTTGTTTTGTCAGCAGAACATGAATTATCGCCACTCACCTCTGATCTTCCCAGTTAGAAAGTTCTTTGAGTTCACAATCTGATCCATGTCGGAACGCATGGTGCCCTCCAGGTTCTTCATCAGCGCTCTGCATTCCTCCTTCAAGGCGCTTAGGCCCTCGGAAACCTGCTGCCGCACCAGGTTGTAGGCCTCCTCCAGGAGCTGCAACGGGGACCCACACGTGAATCGGGGCTCCGCCAAGTGTGAGAGCCTGACAGGGTCCCGTGCAGGGAGGAGGATTAATCCCAGGTAATCGCAACTTAAACAGAACTGCACACACATTCTGACTTTTCTTTCGAAGTCAGAGTCTGTTCGGATTAGTCCTTATTGAGGTAAGAATGAGCAAGCTCAAGATAGTCTGTTCTGTACCAGGGAAGGGATTCGTTTTTTTTTTTTTTCAAAGAAAGGCTACCCTAAAAAGAGAAGAGAAAGGATGCTTATTCTGAGTAGCACAGAGGCAGGGCAAAGCCATCACTTACGCCGAGCCAGGCCCTCTTCCTGTCATTCTTCTTCCCCTTCATTTTAGGCAGAAGGTCTGTCTGGAGGGTTGGCAGCAGCTCCTCCATCACCAGGTGACTCAGGATCTGCGGAGCAGAAGAGGAAGAGAGCCCCCCCCCCCCAGTCTGTTAGTTGGTGAAAGCGAATTCCGAGCCTCACGGCGACTGACAACATCGAGACTGGCCGTGCCCATCCTGGCTACAGAAGACTGTCCTGAACAACTTGACACCTGCTAGGTCAGTAGTTTTCCTCGGGCCACGGAAACCTCAACTAAGGCAACGGCGGGGGCTAAACATTCTTCAACATCCACAAGGAGCAATGTTTTCCTGTTAGAAAGGACACATTCCTCAAATTCAAACTTCTCGTGTGTAAATGAGAAGAAGCCAGTGCATTTAGGAAAAGAGGGGGAACTTCAATCTGGTGGAGGACATCCTTAGCCAAAGGGTAAAGGGGGCAGGCATGGTTGTGGTGCCTTCAGTCCTGGTCTGTGGCCGCTGAGACCGCTGTTCCCCTTGGGATCTGAGTGTCTTCCCGTCTTTGATGTGACTGTCTCCTGAACCCCACCTCCATTCTCTCGAAAGTTCAGAAAAAGTAGGGTTTAACAGATGCTTTGGAATAACTAGATATTGTGGGGTGGGCAGCACATACATGGGGGAGTGCTAAAGTTTTCAGGGTGATTTTTTTAATTGATCCTAAGTCTCTCCTAAAATTTGGCTTAGTTTCATGAAAGTGCTTCTGCTGAATCAGCGGTATTCCACAGGTCCCCAGATAATACTCAAAGTTGCACTGGCCCTTCCTTCTGCACCCCGACCCTGCCCCGATTGGAGCAGTCCTCCTGTTCAAAGTCACTTTGCCATGAATCTTTCCGGGCTCACAGCTCAGCTTCCAAGGTCAGGCTACAGACCAAGGCTCACAAAAAAAAAACGAGCGCCATTTAGGGGAATGGAGGCAGGTACAACACTGCAGAATCATTTGACATCTGCTGCAAGCATTTATAATAATATTTGTCCAAAATAATTGACCTCATAGAAATTCAAATTAAACTGGGGGAATTAAGAAAGAGTCTCTCTGAGGTCACTGCTCAGCCACCTGCTAGTGGAAATACTCATGAACTCATTACATGCGGCCTTTCTTCAGGGTCTGCCACAGCGGGGTGTAACGCTTGAGCAGAGCTGAAGAGGAACACTCCCCGTGTGGAGGTGGGCAAACCATCCAGACCCCCCCCCCGTGTGCCTGTGGGTTCCTGGGAGAGACAGCTGCTCGGGTCAATGCAGCAAGTTGCGGGGGCCTGTCATCTGTGATGTGGAACTCCGTGGTGTGACAGAGTACACGGGAGACATGATTTCCACTGGTCCCGGTAATCCACTGGTGGGGACATTTCTGACGTTCTTAACCATTCTCTGGGGGGAGCCAAAAGGTGAACCAGCAATTGGAGGAACTTAAGAACTTGACGTGTACAAACTCCACGGGAATCAGGAGGTCCAACAAGTGTATCAAAGTGAGTAATTAATCATCCTTGGCCCCCACCCGGCTCAGTGCAGTCCGTTCTCATTCAGAACACAACTGCCCGAGAGGGATGAGCGTGTGATTTGGGGAGCGTGAGCTCAGAGCATACGGACACTGAGGCCAGAACTTAAAACCAGCGGGAAATATTACCTCGGTTGAAAAGTGTGAAATGCAAGATAATTGCCCTACTCATATGAATTATACTAATTCATCCCTTTGCAGAGAGATTGGCTTGAATCTGAGCATAAGCCTGAAATGGGTTTGAAAAGATGAAAATGTTACAAAGGCCAAAGAAAGTAAATGTTCCATTTGGGTGGGCTTAGGGTTTTCTTTCAGTGTTTCCCATGTAATGTTTCAAGTGATTTTGTTCTATTTTTATAACTTAAGCAATTGAAGAGGAAACATATCTAGAAAAAAAAGGAGGGGATGAGAATGGGCTGCCGGGGGAGGGGGCTGAGGATCAGCCACGGGGCGGGGCAGAGTGTGGCTTCCTCTAAGCCTGAAACCCTGGGGACAAGGCCAAACGATGGGGTAGTTTTCTTGGATTGAAGCCCCCTGTTCTGCAGGGGTGCTTCTCTCTTGGCCCAGGGGCTTAATTTAAAGGCAAACAACAAATAACTAGATCTTTACACTTTGCAAAGTGCTTTCCAATGACACATTTATATTCACAAGTAGAAATATATGTATATCTCTACTTGTGAATATAATTTATTTTTAGAGAGAGGGGAAAGGAGGGAGAAAGAGAGGGAGAGAAACATCAGTGTGCAGTTGCCTCTCATGGTCTCCTACTTGGGACCTGGCCTGCAACCCAGGCATGTGCCCTGACTTGGGTTTGAACTGGCGACCCTTGATTCACAGGCCATGGCTCAATCCACTGAGCCACACCAGCCAGGATGAAAACTATATTTACTGGTTTACAAACACAGTCGTCCCTCCTTATCTGTGAGGAATACATTCCAAGACCCCCAGGGGATACCCCAAACTGCAGATGGTATACATGCATACCTGTGGTAAGCAAGTAATAAAATGGAACAATTATAATAGTGCACTGTAATAAAAGCTTATGTGAATGGGGTCTCTCTCTTTCACTCTCTCTCTGGTAGCTAATCTGACAACCAAGACCGCTACTTCATGATGATGGAGAACACAGTGGGGACACACACAGTGGGGACATAGTAGGGACACAGTGGGCAAAAGGATGATTCACGTCCCAGGCAAAATGAAGTGGGATTGTGTGAGAGATTCCATCACCCTACTCAGATCGGTGCACCATTCAAAACGTATGAATTGTTTATTTCTGGAATTTTCCATTCAGTATTTTCAGACCGTGATCGACCACGGGTGACTGAAACTGTGGAAAGCAAACCTGCAGATAAGGGGGACTATTATAATCTCACCCGTACGAATGTTTTGTATTAACAGTCTGTCAGGCAAGTTAGTCTAGGACCTTTGCTTTGCCTGGACTTGTGCCTAAAATCACCATGACCACGAGGGCCTGCCATACTTGCTGTGTGACTCACGACTAAGAAGATAATAAAGTAACAATGATGAAAATCAAAATACCAGCCCCTCGGGAAAGGGGGTTAGGATAGCTTTATGATTAAGCTCTTAGCAGAAACAGCACAAATAAGTGCAGTGCTTTAAACAAAAGATGTCATATTCTCAAACCGGTAATGGCATGCCACATTCCTTAAGTACTTGGCAGACACTTAGGGCCGCTTGCCTCTCCTTTTGTGTGAGTCCGAGGATGGCCAATGCTTCGGCTCTGTGTGTACAGGGTTACGGGGAAGCTCATCTCACCAGGCCCCACACAGGGAGAGTTCTGGAAGCCACTTCTTCCCCAGTTCCTCCAAGGATAGCCTGACAAGGCTCAAAATGCATTTCCATCACAGACTGGCTTGGCGACTTCAACTTCAGCCAACTAACTTCTCTGCAGGTTCTTTCTCTCCCCTGGAGGGTGCTGGGCAAATGGTCCTGAAATGCCACCCCCATGCCCACCACCCACATTTTGGGACTCTATGATTTCATGAAAGACACTCAGGTTCCAGGAGGAGCAAAACTTCTTGGGCCACGTGCTAACACCAGCTTCCCTGATCTCCGGCGTGTGTTTTGCTTTCCCAGTTAGGGTGTTGTGATACTACCAAATTAGCACCTTCCCACACTTGCTTTGTGCAAAAGCTCTGAGAGGTCTGTCTGTGCACAGGCCCGCTGCGCACCCACACACACTTCTAGTGCTGCCTTGCTCTCTGGATGTTTCTAGGTAGGCCATGCCTCACCGGGGGCAGGGGATGAGTCATTTAGTCCTCTCGCACCTCAGAGCACTTCACGAATGTCAGCCCAGAGCAAAGTGCAGAAAGTCAATAAAAGCAAAGACAGCCAACCCCATACCCAACCCCAGAGAGGGCTGACTACATTCCTGCTTTCAATGGTGGAGGGCTGGGAACTGACATGCGATTTGAAATGGAAGGAAAAAATGAAGCAGTAGCTCGGCTGGACTCAAGGGGCTGAATAATCGTGCAACTTAGTGCATTCCCACGGTTGGTGTGGAACTTCCACGGGAGTCAGAGTCAGAGTCAAAAGCTAGAGTTTCCATTGTCGTTTGTCCCTTTAGCGTGGGCCCCGAGACAGTCAGCTCCTCAGCACAGGGCCCCATCTGCCCTGCCTGCCCCTGGGTCACTGCCCCCCCCACAGTGGGGGCCTGGCATAGGGTGGCTCCGTAAACAGTCGTTGAATGAATGAAACTGGGTAAGTTGCTTATCGGCCAAATGCCTGCCTGAATTTTCTCATTTGCAAAATGAGAATAACAATGACTGCTCTATTCACCTTATGAGACGGGTAAGATGAACAGATAGAGTTAGGATATGAACATTAAACAGTATTGCACAGACGCATTTTAATCATGGCAAATCTACTAAATATGTCTGTTCATATGACAGAACATTCAGGGTCTAAATACTCCAGCCTTCTTTTATCCTTTTGTTTTCTTACTGACATAAGCACGATTAGTGGTTAGTCCTCTCAGATGAATATATGGAGGTGTTTCCCCAAAATATCAGAAACCAAGAATTGCTTGAAGTTCTTGCCTGGTCTAGTGTGGCTCAGTGGGTTGAGCACCAGCCTGTAAACCAAAGAATCACCGGTTCGATTCCCAGTCAGGGCACATGCCGGGGTTGTGGGCCAGACCCCCCAGTAGGGGGCGCACAAGACACAAAGACATATTGAAGCTTCTCTCCCTCTCTTTCTCCCTACCTTGCCCTCTCTCTAAAAATAAATGGATAAATAAATAAATAAATAAAATCTTCATGAAAAAAAGGCACTTCTCCAACATTTAAAAATACTGTTTAAAAAAATAATTGGTTTAAGTTCTTGAGTAAGTCTCAAGGCAGGCAATAAAGGAGTTTAGAATCCACCGAAAAAAGAATAAAAGGATTCTGAGTCACATGGTAAAACAATAAAGAATAGTCTCATCATGTTGATACTGAGCATGTTGGTGGCTGTGGCTGTTTAATAACCATCCACAGGCAAGGCACCATCTGGCATCTTCCAAATATTGTCCCCTAATAACAAATTTCACTGGCCCCCACAAGAGGCACTCGAAGATGAGGGGAAATTAATGAGTACCATTCTTGTGTGTCTCTAATTAAATGACGGCTGTGCTCAGCCTCCCTCCCTCCCACGGGTGGAATCGGCTCCGTGACCGTCGCCCTCATGTAGGATGGGCTCACGTCGTGAAACACGGTTTCATTAGAGATTTGTAACAAGGTCCCAGGGACCCGGTCATGGCACTAAGCTTGTGACTGGCATTCAATTAAGGTCATAAAAAAATTATACTGCGCCACAGAGAATGCAAAACTAGAAAATGCAAATGAAAACTGTCTCGTGCTCTTAAAATGTGTCTCCTTTCATGACTTCACTTATCAATCATTCAAAAGATAAAGGTAACCGTGTGCCAAATTGTTTTTCCAAACATCTCATTTAATTCTCCCAACCCTACAAGCTGAAATGTATTTTTTCTTTGGGGGAGTTACCTGAGACTGAAAGAGGTGAAGTAATTGGGGAGATTTAACCCAAGGCCGCTGCCCCAAACCCCCACCACAAACTTTTCACTCAACCATGCCGTTCACATTTGCTTCCGCGCTGGAAGCAGGAGGTCATTGGAGAGAATAATCCCTTTTCCAGGAGAAGGAGAAGCAACCCTTCTCCCTGCCCGTGCAGTCTGTCGGCTGCCCTACTTCATGCCCAACTGGCGGTCTTTGGAGTGGGTGCCCAGCTGTGGGCCTGCAGACCACAGGCTTGTGGACCAGCGATTGTCGGCCAGTGTGCCGCCGCGCACGGGTGTGTGCGAGAATGTTTAAAACATGCAGTACCTGACTACTTAGTTAGGGGCGTGCCCTCTTTTCCCTTAGACTGCCAAATAAAAAAAAATGACAACAGCCAACATGATAATAGGCAAAAATAGGTATAATTTTTTGTCCAATTGACAAAAAATATATTTTCTGGCGTGCTGCAGGGTTTCAGCAATTCGTTTATATGTGCCATGAGATGAAGAGGCTGACAATCACTTTCTAGGCCATGAGAGAAATGGTCTTTGGTCCCGCATCTTCCATCCTTGCAACTTCGTTTGACTGTTTGTGGTGACCCTGACCTCCTGCCTCCCAGGCAGAGAACAAGACCTCAAACCCCGAGCTCCGTGTTACCTGGGTTTCATCTCCAGTCATCGTCTCCCACGAGCCATAGTGACCCTTCTCTTGTCGGAAGAACTGCACAGCTTCTAAAAAGGCCTGGGCTTCAAACGTTGTCTGCTTCATGTAATCTAAAAGAAAGAGGCAAGGGCGTTTAGCAGAGATAAAGACTTTATTTTACAGGCGTCTGTGGTTCCTCACATGTACTGTTTCCGAAACCTAGCATTACCCGATTGTTACAAGGAGCAGAATTATGAGACAGAAAAATTAAGCGGATACTGAATTCAGAGTCCGGTTGCAGGTGTACACATCACGCCACTTGCTTAGCGTACTAGCTGATTAAGTCTATCAATTACTGGGCGTACTTCCTAGGACTACAGGCACATCCGTCCCTCTTTCTCTCTCGTAATTGCTTCTCCGTCTCAGGCACCTGGTGGCTTTACACGACCCACCACAACCCCTCACGCTGAGGCCAGCCCTTCCTCAGCAAGGCCTCGTATACCCATGGTCTCCATCTCTTCCCAGTTTCCTGAACAAAACTCCAGTTTCTCTGTGACATGCCATCAGCTTACTGTCAAAAGGACACGGATACCAATATGCTGATTTATGCAAATGCAGAGTGATCATTGCTAACACTACAGAGCAGGCTATTGTTCTTTTAAGCTCATCACTTATTTCACTGCGGCCTCACAAAAACCTCTAAGAAGTTACCATCCCTGTTTTATAGATGATGAGACCCAAAACACAGAGAGATGAATTAATTGCTCAAAGTCATACAACTAGTATGGACATGAATTTGGGCAGTCTGACTGCAGAGCCTGCTTCTAAGAACTACACTATACGACCGCACATACGGACTGTATGGGTTCACCCTCACGAGCATAGTGGATTTTGAAAGGTGTTGTATCTGAGAGGTAATATCCCACCGCAAAGAGATTAATATCTAATGGCAGGATTTTAACTGTGGCTCAATGGCCTTCCCAGAATTCCACAAGACGCAGCGCACATGCAAATGTCTTCATTTCTGCTGTGGATTGAGTGTTTTTGTCCCCCCAGGCTCACATGCCGAAACCTTAGTCCTCAGTGGGATGGCATCTGGAGATGGAACCAAAGGCAGGTAACTAGGTTAGGCTGGTCGAGCCCAGGTTAGTGCCTTTATGAAAGAGAATGTGGAGTCTTTCCCTCCCTCCCTTCCCCTGTGCCCCTCCCTCCCTCCAGACACTGGATTTACCAGGGCCTTGATCTTGGACTTCCGAGGAGACGGCATTTTTGTTACCACAGTCCAAACCAACTCAGCCAATTTTCAACACATAAAACCAGCCCTTGGAGGGTACAGCGATAACAGAATTATACATATCTTAGCAGGTAATGAATTACAAAAACAGTATCATCTAACAACAAAGAAATCAAATTGCAGGAAGGGGAAACAAAGCGGGCGGAGTGGAGTGACTCCAAGCCACATCTCTCGCCTCCTGCTGCTGCCCGTGTAGGACAAAATGTAGAACAGCCCTGGTGTAGCTCAGTGGATTGAGTGTGCGGCTGGGAACCAAACAACTGCAGTTCGATTCCCAGTCAGGGCACATGCCTGGGTTGCAGGCCAGTTCCCAGCAGGGGACGCACGAGAGGCAACCATACGTTGATATTTCTCTCCCTCTCTCCTTTTCCCCTCTAAAGATAAATAAATAAAATCTTTTTAAAAAAGTAAAAGAAAATGTGGAACAGTAACTGATATTTCTAATATCACGGAGAGATGTGGTCAGAATCTAAATTGTAGTTTTTAAAGCATGTCCCAAGACTCAAGTTTTTAAGTTGAAGCATTTTCTTCCTTGTTATTTTTTTTTTCTGGTTTGGCAATTGATTTAGTCTTTAATCTTAGAGGCTTGGAAAACAAAAATGAAGGCCTTCGTATAAAATTGACAGTAAGTGGGCTGTGGCGTGGGGCTCACGACCCCGGGAGGGCCTTTGCCCACTGAGACAGAAACTGTAATGATCACGTTGAAGTTCAAGATTGACTCGTGTGCTCTTATTCTTAACAGCTGTCTTCATTCCCAACCTCAGGAAACGGCGAGGTGGAATAAAATGTGGCAGTTGGAAGGGGCGAGCATTGCCAGACCCGCGAGCCTGGGAATGAAGTTTGAAATTCTTCCGTCCTTACAAGAAGCATAAGTGTACTTATTTCTTCCCCCACTGATCTCAGTAACTGGAGGAGGTATTTGTAATCCTGTACATACTCTTTCTATCTACATCAAAACAAAGGATGACACTCCCATTGCAGCTTGCATCACCGGAGATCATCGGGGAAAAAAATAACTGAAGAAAAGAGATTTGAGACAATGATGTGTGTGAGTCAGTGTTGTCAAAGAAGAAATAGAAGTGCTGGAATACAGTGACGTGGAAGGGTAGGGCCACCTTCACATAGCTAAAGAAAAGTATTGGTAATCAAATGGACCACAGAAGAAATGATAGTAATTGAACAGCAGCAGTAATGCCAGAAAGAATGAGGGTGTGGATTCGAATTCTGGCCTCCTTACCGGTCAAGACAGACTTTAATGGATTTTAACTAATCCTTTTCCAGAGGGGAAGAAGAATATAATCTACTGATTCATCATTCAATTTTCAGCTTATAAACAAGTTAAATTAATTTATATAAAACTTTAAGAACACCATCTGCCGCATGGTAAGTTGCTTTATAGATACTGGTTTTTGTGATTATAAACCCCATTCAACAGCCACAGCCAGATTGTTGAGGAAATAAAGAACAAAGGCTTGCTTTGCAAAACGTACAACTATGTTGCAAAGGTAATATGAGCTTCGTTTCTTCTAAGTTGTTTGCAAAGGCATTGCTGAACTCAGCCAGAAAGCGCAGGTGTTTGAGAGGAAGCAGATTACCAGTTATTTGATCAACTTCCTGCCACAGGTCTCGTGGGAGCAGAGTCTAGGGTCACAATCACCCACTCTCCTGCCAACAAACAATTGAGACTTCGTGTGAATGGCCCCAGAATCAACAATGGTGTTGGTTCTTTCAAAGCCTTCTCCCTGCAAGCAGACTTAGGAAAAAATGGCAGGTATCAACTCAAATTCTCCTTTCCAAATGTGCTGTAATCATGAGGATGCTGCAGGAGACATATGTGCTGGGGAGAACTTGGACATCATTAAATCCAGCTCCCTTGTTTTATGGTTGAGGAAACTGGACGGAGAAACAGTTCATTTCTTCGCTGAAGGTCACACAGCTGGTCAGAACCAGAGCCAAGAGTTGACAAAGTGGCTCTGGCATATAATAGGTGACCTTGGCATTCATGCTGACTTCAATCATGAACTATGGGAATTAGAAGTAATCTTAAAGGTCCCCGGCAGCTCTCATTCAATGCTAATGGTCTTCAGAACACCAGACAGACACTAGTCCAGCCTTAGCTGGAATATTTCCAGTGAGAAGAGCCTCATGATTTAATGAAATGGTCCTTTTCGTCACTGGACTGCTCTGATTATTTGAAACTTTTTCCTTCTATGGAGCCAAAATCTGTTCCCAGTAACTCTCTCTGATGAATCCCATTTCCGCCTTTCAGAGCAAAATAGATGTCTATTTCTCTTCCATATGGTAACTGTAAAAGATAGCTAAATAGCCTTATTTTCCTTCAACCATTCTTTAAAGAATGGAGTTTTGAGAGTTTTTGAATTTGGCCCTTCTTCTCCCTTCCTGCCTTTAGTGACCAATTCCAATTTATCGATATCTTTCTTAAGTTTGGCCCCTAGCCTGAATATACCACTCCAAGTATTGTCTAACTTGTGTAAATTACATAAGGTAGAAAGATTATTTTCTTTTTCCAGGTCCCTAACCCCCCCCCTTTTTTTTATAGCCACATCATACTGTTGACTCATAACATTCTGTAGCCAAATAAAATCCCTATGCCTTTTCTCATATAAAATCCTTTTTCATCTAAGCCTTTCCTAACTTGTAGTTTGCTCTGGATTTTGAGGTACAGGTTTTGACATTACTCCTATTAAATTATACCTTACTGTGATCAGCTAAGGGCCCCAGAACCTGCCAAAATCATTTAAAAAGTATAATTCTGTCCCCAAACCCCCTTTTGCCTGGGCGTCATTAAAAACTTCAGCGAGGCCACCTTCTGTGTTTCTCCCCCTCTCCTGCTGCAAACGTTTGTCAGGTCAAGGGCAATGACAGAGCCCTGGGAAAGTCTAAACATTTCGGGAAACATGTGGGAGACACATCTTGGCCATTCATTCAGCAGTCACATCCTGAGGACCAAGGCACGTCTGTTCTCCATCGTCTCTCCCTATCTCTCATCTGTGCAGCTGCCTGGAAAACTCATATTCGGGAGATATGATTAAGGATTTGCCGAGGGAAGGGAAGCTGTTCCAGGCCCCTTGGGGACAGTCATGCAGGGGATCAGCCAGAGAGAAATCACTTTTGTTTTTTTCCACTCACACAGATTTACAGCACGTCTGCGGTGATCACAATACCAGAGCTCCGAGGCCCATGCAGTCACTCCGGATTCAACTCTGGCTGCTCGGCCGGGACTCCCTGGCTCGGGCTGGGCTGGGAAGCTGCCTCGTTTCACGGGTCAGCTGCGCCAAACCACGTTAGCTGATCCTCCTGGCGATTTGCACGCGTTGTGTAACAGCATTACTCAGCGCGCTGCTATGAGGTTCGGCGTCCTAATGTTTGCGTCTAAACTGCCTTTAGCTTCAGGCCATGTGTCCTTTCTAGGGGAGCTGTGGCAAGCCTGTCTGCCCTAGTTTCTTCCCTAAGACGAAGGGCAAGAAGCACAGGGGGAAGGAACCAACGTGTATCAAAGGCGATCATGGAGCAGGAACCATAGGAGATGTCTACACACTGTCTCACATAATCCTTCCAACAGTCCCATTAGGTAGGAATTCATACTCCCATTTAAAGGCTGACAAAGCAACTGAGTTTTGGAAAGGTTCCTTACTTCCAGAGTCCTGTTATACCATGCTACGGTTTAATTTTTAAAAGCTTTTTATTTTGAGAAAACTGTAGCTTCCCAAGTTTTTGCGAGAACTAATACGGATATATCTAATGCTTTTGCCTTCACCCAGTTTTTCTTAATGGGACTATCTTGCAAAACTATAATGTAATAGCACAACCAAGAAA